CACCTGGGTCCTGCCTACAAGGCCCACGTGGCCTGACATCACCTGGGTCCTGCCTACAAGGCCCACGTGGCCAGACATCACCTGGGTCCTGCCTATAAGGCCCACGTGGCCAGACATCACCCGGTCCTGCCTACTGGTCCGGCTCTCCTATCACCGCCCCCCCGTCCCAGCCTCACCTGTCCCGGCTCAGGGCCTCTGCAATCTGCGTGTTCTCCCACGCCCCAGTCAGCTCTCTGCCAGACAGCTCCTCAGAGACCTGAAACTGCGCCCCCACCTCCTGCCTGCTTCGTTTGCCTCCCAAAGACTCATCCCCAGGAACACTGTACACCTGTTTTTCCTTCACTGCCTGCCTCCCCCTCTGGATCATACCCTCCAGGAGAGCGGGGCTCCCCAGACGCCTGTGGAGTGAAGAAAGGAGGCGTGCCGTGACACCACGCCGCACTGACCAGCCGTGAGGCCAGCCCGAGCAGCGGGGGCGGTGTCGGGGCAGCCCCAGCCTGACAGGAGGGGCCACGTGCCCTAGGGGCCCATGCCTCAGCCCCGAGCTCAGGGCCGCATCCTTGCTGCATAGCCCGCTGAGCTCAACCTGTTCAACGGTCACACAGAAGCAAAGAATCAGGTAGCTAAAGGTTTGACCTCTCAAACACGCACTCCCGGCTGGTGCCGCAGCTGACGGGGTCTTAGCGAGGCGTCTCACAGCAGCTCCTTCTTGACCTGACCGCAGGAAGAGCTGCCTGCCCTCTCACGGGACTAAAGAAGGCACTCACTAGCTCTAGAGCTCCCTCTTCCTGACACGCAATGGTGTCATGAAAAATAGGGATTCAAATCCATGTGTGACACTGTACGCTTACCACACAAGCGGAATCTCACACGCTCTCCCTAGCTCGGATGGCCTGTTGTGCTAGAATGCACCAGTACTGAGCAAGAAGCAGGACGTCTCCGTGGTCCTACAGGGACTCTCCGGTAGCTTCAAAATTCTGAAAACATCTAACAGACGTGGCACCCTCACACTCTGCTGAAGACAAGGCTATGCCCCGAGAGCACAGCGGTCCTGGGTCCCCAGCACCTGCTAGGAGCTGACACTGGCCCAAATGCCTACCATTTCAGCAAGGCAGAACATCACGAGGCACGCCAGCGTCTGTTGGGGGAGGCCCCCTGCAGAGAGGGCAGCACGCGGGAGCAGGCAGAGAAGAGGAGAAGCAAAGCCCGGTGCTGACAGCTCCGTGAAGCTCAACGCCATAAAGCCGGCAAAACCCTCATGATAAAACCTCTCCAACACTGCGCAGAAAGAACCCTGCAGCATCCCGCCGTAAACACTGGTGCTAACACCCCGAGTTAGCAAAGAAGAAAAGTAGACGGTACCGTTGTCTACCCAGAGCACCCAAAGGCATCCTGGGAACAACTACCACACTGAGATTCAGCCATGAGGCTTGACTTAAGGTACAGTTACAAAAAACAACAAGGCATCTCCACACCAACAATCGGCATTAGGAAACAAGGGGGAAAAGATACCTTTCCCCCCATAAAAACTCAACAAACTCTCGAGAATTTCTCTCACACACACACACAGACACACACACACACACAGACACAGACACACAGACACACACACAGACACACACACACAGACACACACACACAGACACACACACACA